AATAATTCTTTGTATTTCTGTGGTGTCTGTAGTGATTTTTCCTTTCTCATTTCTGATTCTGTTTATGTGTGTAGACTCTCTTTTTTTCTCGATAAGTCTGGCTAGGGGTTTATCTGTTTTGTTTAGTTTTCTCAAAGAACCAGCTCTTGCTTTCATTGATTCTATTTTATTCTTCTCGATTTTATTTATTTCTGCTCTAATCTTTATTATGTCCCTCCTTCCACTGACTTTGGGCCTCATTTGTTGTTCTTTTTCTAGTTTCATTAATTGCGAGTTTAGACTGCTTATATGGGATTGTTCTTTCTTGAGGTAGGCCTGTATTGCAATATACTTTCCTCTCAGCACGGCCTTTGCTGCATCCCACAGATTTTGTGGTGTTGTATTACTGTTGTCATTTGTCTCCATATATTTCTTGATCTCTGTTTTAATTTGGTCATTGATCCATTGGTTATTTAGGAGCATGTTGTGAAGCCTCCATGTGTTTGTGGGATTTTTCATTTTCTTTGCGTAATTGATTTCTAGTTTCATAGCTTTGTGATCTGCGAAACTGGTTGGTAGAATTTCAGTATTTTTGAATTTACTGAGGCTCTTTTTGTGGCCTAGTATATGATCGATTCTTGAAAATGTTCCATGTGCACATGAGAAGAATGTGTATTCTGTTGCTTTTGGGTGTAGAGTTCTGTAGATGTCTGTTAGGTCCATCTGTTCTATTGTGTTGTTCAGTGCCTCTGTCTCCTTACTTATCTTCTGTATGGTGGATCTATCCTACAGAGTGAGTGGAGTGTTGAAGTCTCCTAGAAAGAATGCAGTACATTCTATTTCCCCTTTTAATTCTGTTAGTATTTGTTTCACATACGTGGGTGCTCCTGTACTGGGAGCATAGATATTTATAATGGTTATATCCTCTTGTTGGATTGGCCCCTTTATCACTATGTAATGTCCTTCTTTGTCTCTTGTTACTTTCTGTGTTTTGAAGTCCATTTTGTCTGATACAAGTACTGCAACTCCTGCTTTTTTCTCTCTGTTAGTTCCATGAACTATTCTTTTCCATCCCTTCACTTTTAGTCTGTGTATGTCTTTGGGTTTAAAGTGAGTCTCTTATAGGCAGCATATAGATGGGTCTTGTCTTTTTATCCATTCAGTGACTCTATTTTTTTTGATTGGTGCATTCAGTCCATTTACATTTAGGGTGATTATCGATAGGTATGTACTTATTGCCATTGCAGGCTTTAGATTCGTGGTTACCAAAGGTTCAAGGTTAATTTCCTTACTATGTAAGGGTCTAACTTAACTCACTTAAGGTGCTGTTACAAACACAATCTAAAGGTTCTTTTCTTTTTCTCCTCCTTTTTCTTCCTCCTCCATTCTTTATATATTAGGTATCATATTCTGTATTCTTTGTCTATCTCTTGATTGACTTTGGGGATACTTAATTTAATTTTGCATTTGCTTAGTAATTAGCTGTTCTACATGCTTTACTGTGGTTTTATTTCCTCTGGTGACAGCTATTAAACCTTAGGAAGACTTCCATCTATAGCAGTCCCTCCAAAATAGACTGTAGAGATGGTTTGTGGGAGGTAAATTCTATCAGCTTTTGCTTATCTGGAAATTGTTTAATCCCTCCTTCAAATTTAAATGATAATCTTGCTGAATAAAGTAATCTTGGTTCCAGGCCCTTCCGCTTCATTGTATTAAACACATCATGCCACTCCCTTCTGGCCTATAAGGTTTCTGCTGAGAAGTCTGATGTGAGCCAGATGGGATTTCCTTTGTATGTGATCTTACTTATCTCTCTGGCTGCTTTTAATAGTCTGTCCTTATCCTTGATCTTTGCCAGTTTTATTACTATATGTCTTGGTGTTATCTTCCTTGGGTCCCTTGTATTGGGAGATCTGTGGATCTCCATTGCCTGAGAGACTATCTCCTTCCACAGACTGGGGAATTTTTCAGCAACTACCTCCTCAAAGACACTTTCTGTCCCTTTCTATCTCTTCTTCTTTTGGTTTCCCTATGATGCGAATATTGTTCTGTTTGGATTGGTCACATAGTTCTCTCAATATTCTTTCATTCTTAGAGATCCTTTTTTCTCTCTCTGCTTCACCCTCTTTGTATTCCTCTTTCTAGTTTCTATTTCATTTATTGTCTCCTCCACTGTATCCAACCTGCTTTTAATACCCTCCATCGTGCTCTTCAGCGATTGGATATCCGACCTGAATTCATTCCTGATTTCTTGGATATCTTTCCATACCTCCATTAGCATGTTGATGATTTTTATTTTGAACTCCCTTTCAGGAAGAGTCGTAAGGTCCATGTCATTTAAATCTTTCTCCAGAGTTATATTAATTTTACTGTGGACCAGGTTTCTTTGGCGTTCCATATTTGTGTATGGTGCCCTCTAGTGTCCAGAAGCTCTACTCTGGAGCTGCTCAGCCCCTGAATCAATGTCAGGGGTTGCAGGGGAGCCATATTGGTGCCTTGGGGGAGGAAAGAGCTGTTCCCTGCTTCCCGGCTGCTGTGCCTCTCTCTATTGCCTGAACCAGGGGGCTGAGCACACAGGTATAAGCTTTTGCCCCAGAGCAGCTGGATATGGATCCCTGCTTTCCACAAGCGGCTGGAATCTCAGTCTCTCCAGGAATTCTGCCTGTATTAACTTTCCAACCCAGTAGTCATGCGAGTATCATGAAAGCACCATGAAATGTAGGTTTGTGCTCCCAGAGCAGATCTCCAGAGCTAGGTATTCAGCAGTTCCAAGCCTTCCACTCCCTCTCTGCTCTGTTTCTCCCACCGGTGAGCTGGAGTGGGGGAAGGGCTCGGGTCCCGCTGAGCCACAGCTCTCATATGTTACCCTGTTCCGTGAGGTCTGCCCTTTTCTCCAAGTGTATGCAGTCTGGTGCCATCCTCTTTCCTGTTGCTCTCAGGATTAGTTGTGCCAACTATATTTTCTAATTGTATGCAGTTTTAGGAGGAAGCCTCTGTCTCTCCTCTCACGCCACCATCTTTAATCCTTCTCCCCTCCCTTACTTTTTGAATGGAGTGTCCCAAAAGTTTATTTTTAAGTTGGTTGGTTAGTATTTGAAGCATATTATTCCAAGTAAACTGTGAAATGTGATAAGGCCATGGTAACCTATTTAATACATAAATTACCTGAGTTGCCTCTATGGGAATATAAGGTCAGAGACAAAACTGGACAATTAAACATTTATTCTTTTAACAAATATTTATTACATCCCCATTATGTAGCAGGCCCTAAGCCAAACCAGATGTTTGAGGTATAACACTAGAACTTACATGGTTCTTTCCCCTAAAGGGAACTCACAGTGTGATCGGACATACAGATATGTAAGTAAAGATATGATATAGCTGTAAGATCTGTGCCAGTAGAGATAAATGTAGTTTGTGTGGTTTATGAGCATTAAGATCCTATGGTTTGCCTTGGACCTTAGTGCTAGAATTTTATTGAGCTTGTAATTTAAGTAGAATGTCAAATAATGTATAAGTTTACCCATTGACAGATGAGGGGAAAAGCCTTTCTTGGATCAGCCTATGCAAAAGCAGTAAGGGTCAGAGTGTTTGGGGACCTGAAGCAGATAATTGCTGGGGCAAAGAGATTATGTAGTTGGCTATTGAAAACAGCTCTGGAACTTGAGACAGGCTTATGTAGGGGTGGGAGTGGGGCATATGAATGCTTGAGTGAGCAAAGACCTAAGAGCCAGCAATTGGGAATCATCATATGTAGGCAGTAGCTGAAATCAAGGAAGTGAACTAAAGCATTCAAAACTGAAGTGGGGGTAGGGAGAAGGTGGCTAATCTGGGGAATACCACAGGAAAAAAATAAATGACAGAGGTAGGAGGAGAAACGGGGAAGGAGTGGGTGTGTGAGACCCAAGAAAGATTTTTGACAACAAAGACTTTAGTTGTTAGAAGTAGTTAGAAGTCAAATGGATACTATTTGAAAATAAATATTAAATAAGGTTAAATCCCCAAGCATGGAAAGTTTTACCAGGGTGTTTTTCTCTGTACTTGTTAATGTTTTCTTCTTACAAGTATGCCTCCACATCTGTTTTTAAAAAATCCCAAGATTCCCTCTGTCAGAGAGCACTTGTTGACTATTTTGTGAATTATCACATAGGAATTCATAAGGTTGTCTTTTGGGCCTTTTTTTTAAAGCCCCATGCACTTTAACTCAGGGGAGTGAATTTAATAACCTTTTTTGTTGAACTACAGAAAGCAAGGTGGCAGGTTAGGAGAAGTGTACACTTGGGAGATAAATCTTTGCCATGTGGGTGATCTTGGCCAAGTTACCTAACCTCTCATGGGTAAAATGGGGAAACAATATCTGCCTTATAGGACTTTTGGAAGGATTACATGCCATAATGGGTAACCTTCATTTGAAATACTAAAACTGAACTGTGCTACCAAGTAACTAGTAGAATACACATCACTTGGGTGTGAGTGGTCCTTCTGTGACAACCTCCATTAGAGTCTGTATCGTAGTAAATGAACCTTTATTAGTAGACATACATACAGGAGCATACTGTGCTTTAGCCATTAAAAACCAAGAGCAGGGTCTGAAAGATGAAGCAGGAGCTGTTGGTAGCTGCTTTGCTATGTTTTTATATGTTGATGGGCAAAATGATTCCTGCATATGGCATAATTGAATGGTACTTTCTGGAGGAAAAACTCTTTTCTGTGGTAAGGACTAAAAGTATGAGAAGTAGACAAAAGGTAAATTGCTGAAAATTTTCTTTGTGCTAAGTTTGAAATTAATGGTTCCTCTTAAAAAAGTGCTTTATTTCTTCTGGAGATTTAGACTACTTCCTATAATCTGAAATCTTAAAAACCTAAAACTTACTTTAAGTGGTACCTTTAAGTGGTATTCAATGAATAACCTTTGGACTATTTTAAAAGATTGAGTTAAATTTCTTCTGGGTTATAAGAAGACAATACCTTCATTATATCATTTACTTTAATTATATTTTTGTGTTTTGTTTTTTTCTCAGTTTCTATTACAAAGAATATAGCAAAAACACAGCCTTCCCCTTCCAGAGCAACCCAGCATTCAATGCAGTCTCCACAGAAAACTGCTGTAATATTACCACCACAGCAGAATAGGAAGTCAGGTCGGACTAAACCACCTGCACAAACTTCACTCCCCAAGAAGGGAAGTTCTGTTAAAAATAGTACACCAAGGAAAAAAGGCCCAAACTCTGGAAGAAAGGTTAGTTGTATCTTCTACTAATTTCTATTACAGGTCTCTGTAGTGCCTTATTATTTATAACGTACAGCGTACAGTTTAGGATTTACTGAGTATGATGAGGCCCTTTAGGAATGTACAGAGTATATAAAACTCTTTAAGGCCCATATAGCTATCAAGGTTCATATTTCTTTTCTTTGGTAAATTAAAAACTTGCAATAGCATTCAACCTCTTCAAAACCATGTTGGAAATACTTTGTGGGTGTTTTTATGTTCGAGCCAGTTTATTTAAAACTCAGTATACTTTAAAAGTCAATGTCAAGTAAATTTTATTGTGCAGAAATTATACCTCAGTAAACGGGGGAAGAGGGAATCAGTGTGATAAATTCAGTGGTGCTAGAGTCACATCCTACCTGACTCCCCCAAAGGAAACAACTCTAAAACCTTTAAATAATAGGAAAAACAGGTACTTGAAGACATTGTAGAGCCGACTGTAAGTAGACTCTCATTGGGGGGTGCAACAGGACGGTAGGGGTGTTATATAAAATTCTCTATCTGGCAAAAATACTCTTCAAGAATGAAGGTGAACTAAAGACATTTTCAGATAAAATCATACTAAGAGAATTCATCACGGGTGGACAAGCACTATAAGAAATGCTGAAGGAAGTTTTTCTCTGAGTAAATGCAAATAACTTTGTTTTTTGCTTTTTTTCCTCTTAATTTCTTTTTAATAATGTGACTATTTAAAGCAACAATTATAGTACAATCCTGTGGGGTTTATAACATACATAGATGTAATACATAAAACAATTAGAGTATAAAAGCTTGGGGTAAGGGATATGGATTAGTATCAATGCAAGGTTTCAATGTTTTATGTTAAGTAGTACAGTATTAACTTTATGTGGATGGTACATTGTAATCACCAGGGCATGTTATAAAAACACAAAATTCAAAGAAGTACAGCTAAAAAGCCAATAGGAAAATTAAAATGGGATATTCAAGTAATCCCCCCAAAAAAAGACAGGAAAGGAGAAATGGAGGAATAAAACAAAGAGGAGACAAATAGAAAACCAATAATTAAATGGTAGGCCTAACCCAAACATACTAATAATTACTTTGAAAGTCAGCGGACTAAACTCTCTAATTAAAAGAGATGATCAAAATGGATTTTTTAAAAGACCCAAATATATCCTGTCTACAAGAGATATACTCTAAATGTGAAGACACAGTATCTTCCTGGATGTATTAGAACTGACTTAAAATTGAGCAGTATTAACTTAAACATTTCTGAGTTCAGCCATCTGATATCAATACTTATGACAGATATTCAGCTATCAGATATCAATATATATAACATGTTAATATATATAGCATCAATATATAACATTTGTTTTGTTTCACCTAATGTTTGCAGTATGGACCAAAATGACAATACCATTTTGACTTAACAATACTTACATTAATATTGGTATTTTTATTAAAATAAAAATCAAAAGTCAGTGATATATTTCAAATATACAGTCAACATTAAAAAATCAAATAGATAATTCTAATGTAAATCAGATGAAATTTTCAACTTATATATTATGTAAAAATAAGAAAAGCTAGTGAAATTTAAAGAGAAATATTTTGTTTGAAATGTATCTTGAAAATGAAAATATATCAAGGGTGTCATTGCAGCAACCTTAATGCATATTTTCCAGCTGTTGAGAAGTCTTTGTGATTAGTTGGTATAAATGGTTTTATCTCCATGGATTTAACTCTACAGTGTTTCTCTTGACTCCTTTATTTTCAAATAATTTCAACACTAATTCGATAATTTAGAAGAGATCTTTTTGAAAATATTGTTTAGATAGGGCAAGGAAGGACAGGGCAAGGAAGGGCAAGGAAGGACAAAGGCAGATACTGAAATTTTTTTATAATAAACTATTATTAATTTCAAAGGAAGCATTTCAATTCACCTTCATCTTTTCTAGCTTCATTATTTCATCATGAAAAGATAAAGATTCTCATGCAATTCCCAAATCCCTGTTTCAGTACTGCCATGTCATAGTTTAGTTATTTTAGGAAGTCTTTGAACTAGAGTATGAATTATTCTCACATTATACTCTTTCCTTTATTAACTATTTTCTCCCCCAACTGCTTAAGGAGTCCAGAGGTGTAGAAGCACATTTTCCAAATAAATGTGCCCTTATTCAGTTTATAATGTTAATGCAAACATACTATCTTGATATGTCTTAAGTCAAGGGATTCATATTTCTAATTTTTAAAATACTGAAAGAACAAGAGTGTATCAACACAGTAATTGTAGTTCAGTACTTAAAAAGTATTGTGTACTAGAATACTGTGAACCCAGAGTTGTTAATTTAAACAAATGCAGAAAAATCCAACAACATTGAATGTTACCCTGTTTTTTTCTCCTTTGTACCTGCTTTTTAAATATCCTCTTTTAATACCTTTTCTAGGCATAAAAGCCCCCTTCTCTGATACTTGAGAGCTGTATCAGCCATATTCTTAGTTCCAAGACAACCCTAAGAATTGTTAATAAAATACAACATTAGTGATGTTTAATAATGCCCAGAAAACATTTGGTTCTTGTGTACAGTAGGCATAATTTTGTATGGACTTTAGCAAACCACTTGTAATTTTGTCAAAATTACCATATATAATATGGAGAAGTGCAGGATAGGTAACAGTAAAAACGAGATAAGCGACTGCTTTCCAAAGAAAGACTTTTTTCTTCTGCCTTGTTGAGGTCTCCCACTCCCATTTGATGTATTGCTGGATTAGATTTATAGACTTTTCTTCAGCAGTGTGAAAAAAACTCATCTTCCAGGGCATCTCAAAAAATAAAACAAGTTTTACACAGTTGAACTATTTTGGAGGGGTAGTGGTGGGAATCCCAGACTCTTGGTCTCTTCCTCTACCACCTTACCAGCTCATGGTCCCCTCTAAGGAAGCAGTTTTGGAAAGTACTGCATGCAGTTCTCCACACATACAGGGGTTTTCAGCCCTGAGGACTTAACAACTGATCATTTGTGAGCCAGTAATGCTGATAATTTTCTGACTTCCTTCTTTGGGAAGTTTTTAAAGGGTAATGCATACTTGTGTTCTTTTTTTTTTATGTAGGAGAAACAGCTTCCTGTTGTGTGTTCTACATCAACAGCTTCTATGAAGTCTCTGATCAGAAAGTATCGCTTTTCATGTGTTAAGGATGCTGTTCCTGAGGCATCTAAAATAGTGATGTCTACAGGTAAACTAGTATTTTTAGAAGAGTGTAAAATTACTAATTTTTTTATTCTGTATTATTTTCAGTGTCTTTATAGTCCTGGAAATAAACTAAGGGAGAAAAAAGATGTTGATAATAAACATTTCTTTTAGCATTTTTCATATTGAAAGTGTTTTGAAATTCTGGTTGCTCATTTTGATGTTCGGGAAAATCCATCTGTTTAAACACCTAAGTCACTTGAAAATTTGATATCCTTGAAGTATTTTATCCATCTTACTAAGATTTATAAAATTTACATTTTTATCAAATCTGTTTTGTTTTCCCTTCATCTCATTTCAAAATTTGTCTTTTTGTCTTGTATGTATTTTTAAAGCTACCTCAAACCTTTATTTAATGCCTTTTAAAATCTTGACAGATCCTCACCTATCAAGGGGCGTGATAATGTTAAATAGTTCTCTGCTATGTGAAGAGTAAAATTATAGAGACCCAGACTAATCCCTTTGATTTGTCATCTTCTGCACATTTCCTTATACCTTTCCTATTTGTTAAAGCATCTTGTATTGCTTCCTCCCGTAGATGCCTAATTATTTCCCTTACACTCTTCTGTTCCTTGAGTTATCCCCTGAATTTTTCTTTCCTGACTTAAAAAGAAATTGTAATTTAAGTTGTTGAAATGGAAATCACTTTAAAAAATGATTATTATAACTTACCTCATTTTGTCAGTTTATTTCTGATTTAAAGTCCATTATCAGGAGACACTAGCTAAATGAGTATAATACTAAGGAGATAAAACATTGAAATCCTTGTTTAAGCATCACTCGTGTTCAATAGAACTTTGTCCATGCCTTCAACACCACAGGTTAAGTTTTCAATAGCTGTTTCATTCTTGTGAGAGTGCACCCTTCCTCTGGCTTTTGTCAGAAAGTTGAGTTATTGTATATTTCAACCTAGTGAAAGTGAGATTAATGGATTTTTATCGTACTAAATATAGACCCATGTATATAGGAAAATTTTGCAATATAGATTAAGTAATGGATAAAAATGTGTTCCTTGATTTTGGTGGGGGACAATAAATTTTGTTTGGTAGTAATGGAGTATTGATCTCAGTGAAGAAAAATTATGGAAACTTAACATTTGTGTGATTATAGATGTTTTGCTTTCTAAATCATATGCTTTTATCATACTAAGGAAAGCTTTTATTTTTACATTTTCTTCAGTGAACCTTGGCATGTACATAAAGAACATTTTTATTTTCTTAAAATTAATGAAAAGAATTGCTCTGGGTCATTGTAACTTACTATATCATATATCTTATATTACTTGGTTACTTTAGAAAATATAATGAAGTTATAATATTGGTGACTTGAAATAAATTCAGTCCATAAGTTAATATACCAACATTACCAGTTTTTAAAGAAAGTTATTGTAGTATGTATACAGTTAAAAGGTGAAAATATTCATCTATCTTTATACAATTTTATGTAATCTGAGAATGTGTGAAGAATTGTTTTGTGATACTACTAGAACTCCTATAGTTCTATTATAATCAGTTAAAGCAAAATGAGCATTGGGATTCTTTCTAGATTTAATATCTTTACATTAATATGAAAATATATTTTCATAACATTTTTAGGTAGCAGAAATGATCATTGATATTAACTGTATTTAGGTTCTTTTTAAGTGAAGTGTGACTAGTGGAAAATAGTGATTGATTATGTAGTATTTATGTTCCTTTCAACCATTCTCATTGTTGTATTTGTATACATGTTTTTCCTCAAGTCTGTGTCTATGTAAACAAACATGGAAACTGCGGCCCTCACCTGGATCCAAACAAAATCCAGCAGCTGCCTAACCACTTTGGCCCGGGCCCTGTGAATGTGGTGCTCCGGCGGATTGTGCAGGCCTGTGTGGATTGTGCCATTCAAAGTAAGACTGTTTTTGGATTCCTTAAGCCAGATGATCGTGGAGGAGAAGTGATAACTGGTATGCTCATTTAGTCCTTTATTCAGCTTTTTTTCCAAATTTTGATTTTAGGTTTGGTGATGACCAGGATTTTATAATACTATGTTATGTTATAACATGAAAATAATTATTATGTTGATATAATAAAATCTTTTAATAATTATGTGTTTATAGACTTTCAATCCTAGTTTGGAAAGTTTAACTTTCAAACTAGAAAAATAATGTCAGAGTAATATTGTAAATGGAGATGAAAGGTACAGATTTTTCTGTTTATAGCATGCTATATTAAGCTCACTATAGACAAAATACATTGGTTGATTATGTATTTTAACATTTCTTGGAAAACAGGCTGGTCTATAAGCTCTAAATAAAAATGTGACTCAAAGTGATTGAGAGTTAAGATACAGCTGGCTTTCATGATTGTGTGATCAGATACTATAACATTTGTACCCATGGACTGTTATAGCAGAAAGTGTTGTTACAGATCAGTGGGTTTCTGTTGTTGTTTACATTGTGAATATTTTTAAATGAGAATTTTTTTAAATACAGACTGTTGTGTTTTAATGAGAGAACTTTTATAATTTAAGATCATTCCTTTATAAAGTACAAAAACCACAAATAATACATTTCCTAAATTGATGGGGGGTTTTTTTTTGATGTAGTTCTCACCTTTCTCTAATGTAGCTCTGACTTTTTTGTTCCCACTGATAGCCTTCTTTGAAGGGGAAACTCATTCCATTCAGCTCCCGCCAGTGAATAGCGCATCATTTGCTCTTCGCTTTCTTGAGAACTTATGCCACAGCATGCAGTGTGATAACCTTTTAAGTAGCCAGCCTTTTAGCTCTTTCAGACCTAATACTGATAGTCCTGCAGAGCATGATAAAAGTAAATCAGGTAAGAGAAAATTTAAAATTTTGTACTGTGCTTGTTTTATATTGTATTTTATAATTAACTTGAGCATCTTGTTTAATTCAGTCTTGCCTCCTCAAACATTTTAGCTACAGTGAACTAATTAAACATATATAACATCGTTGTTTTTGTTCATTCAGGGTGAGAAAGTAATTTCTTGTGGTATTCATAATGAACTTGACAAGAATTAAAACCTGAAAAGTATCAGGTTGTGGTTTGATTTGCATTTCCCTAATGGCTGGTGTTGAGTATCTTTTCTTGTGCTTATTGGCTTTTTCTGTATCTTCTTTGGAGAAATGCCTTTTCAGATCATTTACTCAATTTTAATGGGGTTGTGCTTTTATTAAATAGAAATGTATTTATATATTATATATTTATGTTTGTTGTATATAAATATATACAGTATATTTTATATATTCTGGATACAAGTTCCATATCAGATTTATGTGTTCCATATATTTTCAGTCATTTTGTAGGTTGTCTTGTACTTTCTTGATGGCGTCATTTGAAGCACAAAACTTTTTGGTTTTGATGTGCTCCAGTTTATTTTTTCTTTTCTAATTTTGGTGTCATTTCTAAAAAAAAATCCGATACAAGTTCACAAAGATTTACTCCAGTGTTTTCTCCTAACAATTTTATAGTTTTAGCTATTGTATTTAGGTCATTGATCTATTTTAAATTAACTTTTCTGTATGTTGTGAGGTAGTGGCCCAATTTCATTCTTTCACATGTGGATATCTAGCTGTCCCCAGCACCAGTTGCTGAAAAGACTACTCTTTTCCTATTCATTTGTCTTGGAACTCTTGTCAGAAATCAGTTGACTATAGCTACATAGGTTTATTTCTGGGCTACAATTCTATTTCATTGATCTGTATGTCTGCCCTCATGGCACTACCACACTATCTTGATTACTGTACCTTTTTATAGTTAATTTTGAAATTGGAAGTATGAGTTTTCCAACACTGTTCTCCATTTTCAATATTGTTTGGATATTCTGGGTCCTCTGCATTTCCATATGAATTTTAGGTTGAGCTTAAAACCTGAAAAGTATCAGGTTGTGGTTTGATTTGCATTTCCCTAATGGCTGGTGTCGACGCAGCTGTGATTTTAATGGGGATTATATTGAATCTGTAGATCTATTGGGGGATTATTGCCATTTTAACAATATTGCCAATTTAACAATATTGAGTCTTCCATTTAACTGAACCTGGGATGTCTTTCCTTGTATTTAGGTCTTCTTTAATTTATTTCAGCAATGTTTTGTAGTTTTTAGAAAGCACACCTGGCACTTCTTTTGACAAATTCATCTCTGAACATTTTATTGTTAGTGCTATTGTAAATTGAATTATTTTCCTAATTTGATTTTTGGCTTGTTTGTTACATGTATATAAAAATACAGTTGATTTTTGTATATTAAACTTCTATTCTGTAATCTTGCTAAAAATGTATTCATTCTCTGGAGATTTTGTATGTGTGAATTCTTTTTTTTTCATTAAGGTATCCTTGATATACAATCTTATGAAGGCTTCATACGAGCAACATTGTGGTTACTACATTCACCCATGTTATTGAGTTCCCCCCCACACCCCATTGCAGTCACTGTCCATCAGCATAGTAAAATGCTGTAGAATCACTACTTGTCTTCTCTGTACTATACCGTCTTCCCCGTGACCCTCCTTACATTATGTTTGCTAATGATAGTTCTCCTTAATCCCCTTTCCCCCACCAACCATCCCCTACTCCTTCCCTTTGGTAGCCACTAGTCCCTTCTTCAAGTCTGTGAGTCCGCTGTCATTTTGTTCCTTCAGTTTTGCTTTGTTGTTACATTCCACAAATGAGTGAAATTATATGGTACTTATCTTTCTCCACCTGGCTTATTTCACTGAGCATAATACCCTCTAGCTCCATCCATGTTGCTGCAAATGGTAGGTTTTTTTTTCTTATGGCTGAATAATATTCCATTGTGTATATGTACACATTTTCTTTATCCATTCATCTACTGATGGACACTTAGGTCACTTCCATATCTTCACTATTGTAAATAGTGCTGCAATAAATATAGGGGTGGGTATGTCTTTTAGAATCTGGGAAATAAAATAAAATCTTATTTTATTTTATTTTTTTAATTAAGGTGTTATTGATATACACTCTTATGAAGGTTTCACATGAAAAAACAATGTGGTTACTATATTCACGCATCACCCATATTATTGTGTCCCCCCATACCCCATTGCAGTCACTGCCCATCAGTGTAGTAAGATGCCACAGAGTTACTATTGGCCTTCTCTGTTCTACACTGTCTTCCCCATGATCCCCCCCACACCATGTATGCCAATAATAATAATAACCCTCAATCCTCTTCTCCCTCCCTCCCCACCCACCCTCCCCCACTCCTCACCCTTTGGGAACCGCTAGTCCCTTCTTGGAGTCTGTGAGTCTGCTGCTCTTTTATTCCTTCAGTTTTGCTTCCTTGTTATACTCCTCAAATGAGGGAAAACATTTGGTACTTGTCGTTCTCTGCCTGGCTTATTTCACTGAGCATAATGTCCTCCAGTTCCATCCATGTTGTTGTAAATGGTAGAATTTGTTTCTTGTGGCTGAATAGTATTCTATTGTGTATATGTACCACATCTTCTTTATCCATTCATCTACTAATGGACACTTAGGTTGCTTTCATATCTTGGCTATTGTAGATAGTGCTGCAATAAACATAGGGTTGCATGTCTTTTTGACTCTGAGACCTTGTATTCTTTGGGTAAATTCCTAGAGTGGAATTACTGGGTCAAATGGTATTTCTGTTTCTAGTTTTTGAGGAACCTTCATATTGCTTTCCACAGTGGTTGAACTAGCTTACATTCCCACCAGCAGCATAGGAGGGTTCCCTTTTCTCTGCATCCTTGCCAGCGTTTGTTGTTCTTAGTCTTTTCCATACTGGCCATCCTAACTGGTGTGAGGTAGTATCTCATTGTGGTTTTGATTTGCATTTCCCTGATGATTAGCGATGTGAAGCATCTTTTCATGTGCCTGTTACTCATCTGAATTTCTTCTTTGGAGAATTGTGTGTTTATATCCTCTGCCCATTTTTTAATCGGTTTATTTGCTTTTTGGTTGTTGAGGCGTATGAATTCTTGATATATTTTGGATGTTAACCCCTTGTCGGATATGTCATTTATGAATATATTCTCCCATACTGTAGGATGCCTTTTTGTTCTATTGATGGTGTCTTCTGCTATACAAAAGCTTTTTAGTTTGAGGTAGCCCCACGTGTTCATTTTTGCTTTTGTTTCTCTTTCTTAAGGAGATGGGTTCAGGAAAAAGTTGCTCATGTTTATATTCAGGAGATTTTTCCCTGTGTTGTCTTCTAAGAGTGTTGTGGTTTCATGACTTACATTCAGGTCTTTGATCCATTTTGAGTTTACTTTTGTGTATGGGGTTACACAATAATCCAATTTTTCTGTTGCATATAGCCATTCAGTTTTGCCAACTCCAGTTGTTGAATAGTCTGTCATTTCCCCATTGTATGTCCATGGCTCCTTTATCATATATCAATTGACCACATATGCTTGGGTTTATATCTGGGTTCTCTAGTCTGTTCCATTAGTCTATGGGTCTGTTCTTGTGCCAGTACCAAATTGTCTTGATTACTGTGGCTTTGTAGTAGAGCTTGAAGTTGGGGAGTGCCATCCCCCCACCTTTATTCTTCCCTCTCAGGATTGCTTTGGCTATTTGGGGTCTTCTCTGGTTTCATATGGATTTTAGAACTATTTGCTCTAGTTCATTGAAGAATGCTGTTGGTATTTTGATAGGGATTGCATTGAATCTGTAGACTGCTTTGGGTAGGATGGCCATTTTGACAATATTAATTCTTCCTATCCATGAGTGCGGAATGTATTTCCATTTATTGGTATCTTCTTTAATTTCTCTCATGAGTGTATTATAGTTTCCAGAGTATAGGTCTTTTCATTTCCTTGGTTGGGTTTATTCCTAGGTATTTTATTCTTTTTGATGCAATTGTGAAGGGAATTGTTTTCCTGATTTCTCTTTCTGCTATTTTATCATTAGTGTATAGGAATGCAGCAGATTTGTGTATTAATTTTGTTATCCTGCAACTTTGTTGAATTCAGATGTTAGATCTAGTCGTTTTGGAGTGGATTCTTTAGGGTTTTTTTATGTACGATATTATGTCATCTGTAAACAGTGACAGTTTAACTTCTTCTTTACCAATCTGGATGCCTTTTATTTCTTTGTGTTGTGTGATTGCCATGGCAAGGACCTGCAGAACTATATTAAATAAAAGTGGGGAGAGTGCGGATCCTTGTCTTTTTCTGATCTTAAAGGAAAGGCTTTCAGCTTCTCACTGTTAAATATGTTGTTGGCTGTGGGTTTGTCATATATGGCCTTTATTGTGTTGAGGTACTTGCCCTGTATACCCATTTTGTTGAGAGTTTTTATCATGAATGGATGTTGAATTTTATCAAATGCTTTTTTCGCATGTATGGAGATGATCATGTGGTTTTTGTCCTTTTTGTTGATGTGGTGAATGATGTTGATGGATTTTCTAATATTTTACCATCCTTGGCATCCCTGGAATAAATCTTACTTGATCATAATGGATGATGTTTTGATGTATTTCTGATATCGGTTTGCTAATATTTTGTTGAATGTTTTTGCATCTATGTTCATCAGGTATATTGGTTTGTAATTTTCCTTTTTTTGTGGTGTCTTTGCCTGATTTTGGTATTAGAGTGATGCTGGCCTCATAGAATGAGTTTGGGAGTATTCCCTCCTCTTCTACTTTTTGGAAAATTTTAAGGAGAATGGGTATTAGGTCTTCACTAAATGTTTGATAAAATTCAATGGTGAAGCCATGTGGTCCAGGGGTTTTGTTCTTAGGTAGTTTTTTGATTGCCAATTCAATTTTGTTGCTGGTAATTGGTCTGTTCAGATTTTCTGTTCCTTTCTGGATTAACCTTGGAAGGTTGTATTTTTCTAGAAAGTTGTCCATTTCTTCCAAGTTATCCAGTTTGTTAGCATATAATTTTCCTAGTATTCTCTCTTAATTCTTTGTATTTCTGTGGTGTCCGTAGTTATTTTTCCTTTCTCATTTCTGATTCTGTTTGTGTGTGTCAACTTTCTTTTTTTCTCGATAAGTCTGGCTAGGCATTTATCTATTTTGTTTATTTTCTCGAAGAATCTGCTCCTGGTTTCATTGACTTTTTTCTATTGTTTTATTTTTCTCAATTTTATTTATTTCTGCTCCAATCTTTATTATGTCCCTCCTTTTACTGACTCTGGACCTCATTTGTTCTTCTTTTTCTAGTTTCATTAGTTGTGAGTTTAGATTGTTCATATGGGATTGTTCTTCTTTCCTGAAGTAGGCCTGTATTGCAATGTAGTTCCGTCTTTGCACCACCTGCACTGCATCACAGAGATTTTCTGGTGTTGAGTTATTGTTGTCATTTTTCTCCATATATTGCTTGAGCTCTGTTTTTATTTGGTCATTGATCCATTGGTTATTTAGAAGCATGTTGTTAAGCCTCCATATGTTTGCGGACTTTTTAGTTTTCTTTGCGTAATTTATTTCTGGTTTCATACCTTTGTGGTCTGAGGAGCTGGTTGGTACAATTACAATCTTTTTGAATTTATTGAGGCTCTTTTTGTGGCCTAGTATATGATCTATTCTTGAAAAGGTTCCATGTGCACTAGAGAAGAATGTGTATCCTGCTGCTTCTGCATGGAGTGTTCTGTTGATGCCTGTGGGTCCCTATTGGTTGCCTGAAATATCTTTTTCAATCTCTTTATGTTTAGTCTGTATATGTCTTTGGGTTTGAAGTGAGTCTCTTATAAGCAGCATATAGATGGGTCTTGTTTTTTTATTCATTCTATAACTCCTCTGCTTCTGGGACTCTCCCATTAAGTGTAAACCTGGTGATTATTCTTTTACTGGTTCTTCAAATCGTTTGAGCCCCTTTAGTGAATTTTTCATTTCGTTTGTTATATTTTTTCACGTCCTGAATTTCTATTTGGTTCTCTTATTATTTTTATCACTTTATTGATAATCTCTATTTGGTGAGACATTGTTCTCATACCTTCCTATATTTCTTTAGACTTTTTTTTCCTTTTTAGCTCTTTGAACATATATAAAATAGTTGAATTACAGTCTTTTTCCAGTAAGTCCACTGTCTGGGCTTCCTCAGGATAGTTTCTATTGACTAGTGGTTTTCCCTGTGTATGGGCTATACTTTTATGTTTCTTTGCATGTGTCCTAATTTTTTAGTCGAAAACATGGCATCTGAAAAGAATGTAATAAGGGAATTCTGAAAATCAGATTCCCTCTCCCTCAGTTTGTCTCCCAGCCTTTGCCAGGGCGCCAGGGGGTTCTTGTTGTTGTTGTTGTTGTTGTGTGTGTGTGTGTGTGTGTGTTGGGACTTAACCTTGAACACTCTAGGAGGCAGTTTATAAGTCTGCTTTCTGCAGAGCCTCAAGGTTAGCAAGAAATGAAAGATGAGGGCCCTCCCATGTCTTTCAAAGAGTGCATACAACTCTGCATATGCATATGGCTTTCTAGATTCTCATAACTATCTCAAGGGTTTTCGAAGTCCTCTAATGGGCGCCTCATTCTCCAGTTTTTCCTTTTAAGCTTTTCGGTCAGCATCTTTTCAGCCTAAACTGGTAATGCTGCCTTAGGCAGGTACAGTGTAAAATAATTGCCATTGTTTGGTTTTTTTTTTGGTGTTACTGACCAGTGTCTTCAAGATAGGGCTGTTCACACAGAGCAAGCTCTGAATCAGGTCAAAATAAGCCCTGCGATCAGAGCTTTACAATGAGCTGTAAGATTGGTCACATAGTGATATTTCTCTAGGGATAGGGCTTCTAGAGAGCTTCAAATCCATTGTGTGCCCCTGTAATGACTGCTAGGTTGCTGGTTTTTACAGATACTGTAGTTTGAAAGCTGTTGGTTTGCAAGGCTGCTGCAAAACTGGGTGAAGGGGATAGGGAAGCTAAAATGTCACAGAATTTGCTGTTCTTTCTGAGATTCAGTCATGTTACTTGAATAAATGCTTTTTGGATTGTTTTAAGCTTTTAGTTAATGTCTATAATTTTCAAAAATTACTTTTGCCAGTGTTTTCATTATTTTTATGAAGGAGTGGTTTTTTGAAGGTCTGTAATAGTCATCCTGGAAGTGCGTCTCTATGATGACTTCTAAAGTACTTTGTAAATTATCTGGAATTTTTTACTTATCTCTTCAGGAAACGTTTCATGCCTGAGTTTACTACAATACCCAGAAGTGAAAGTCAAGAGTCAGTTTTTGTTTGTGTCAGACCCAGATAGTAGACCATATATCAGTGTCATAAACTTTTCATAGAAAAAAAAGCATTAAAATATTACAAGTAAAAGATAAGTAAAGACTTTTCCTGATCTTGCTTAAGATTCTGAGGTGAACAAATAATCTATAGAAAACTATACTTTAGTATTTGAATTTTTTGTATCATTAAATGGGCAGCAAAAAAGTCAGCTATTTCTTTCCTTAGAATTTAAATGTTCTAATTATAGAAATACTTGTCATTCACTGAAATGTGTTTGGCCTGTTTGGTAGTCTACAGTTAAAGGTAAAATCCAGTGGTAAGAGCTCTCTTAGACTCTGATAAATCATTCAATAATAACTAGATGGCCAAAAATTGCTCATCAGATGATTTTGAGAGACATACCTGGCCTCCAGCCATTTTGAACCAGATGAGGTTTTTGACTTTGTTACTTTCACAATGCAAATCTTTCTTCTATCTTGAGGTCTATTACCAAACTTTAAAATTTTGTATTATACTTTATTTTTCCTTTTATTTGGTGGTTAAATGAAGATGTTGATTAATATTTAGAGTGTGATCAATAATTCGAGATGTGTATTTTGAGGATCATGCCTTAAAGAGTGATTCTTTAGGTAGAAATGCATTTGGCTGAATGATAAGTAAGCAGTAAAGTTATTTTAAGAGTAGCTCTAGGCCAGGATTGTTGCCTATAAAATATGGTACCCATTTTAACCTATTCTCTCCTTAACTTCTCTGAATTCTTTAACTTTTCTTGCTTATGGGAGAAAATTTCCCAGGGCTTTGAAACACATTATATATTAGACACAGCCTCACTGCCTCCTGAGGTATTTAGAGAGATGTGATAACCCTGGAAAAAATGAAGCCTAGACATAATGCTCTTAAGTCTTGAATATAATGTCCCTGAAAATAGGATGAAATGAATATGTTATTCATAAACAAGTGATTATTAAATTAGTGATGTTATAGAGGCAGATGATTTAGAAACAAAAGTGGGTTTTGCTGATGATATGAAAATGCTTGATTATATTAATTAGTTAAAGCAGACACCTTTTGTTTTTTGTTTTGAAAACGGTAACAGAAGACGTAACAGAAAAGAAAAGCATCAAACGATCTGCTCCAGAACCTCTGCCTTCCGTAGTTCCTCTGTCTCCTAAGCTTTCCAATACAGAAGTGTATGGTGTTAAAGGTAAATAGTATTTATACATCCCAGGATTTGGAAGAAAAGTCATCCTCCTATCACTTATGTATGCTCTTGGGTGGTGGTGTTGGGGGGTTAGGAGCTATATTTGCCCAAATGAGTTTGGCAATTGAGCTACTACTTTTGCCGTTTTGTTGAGCATTTCATTCCTTTCAGAAGCACACAGTTGTTGTTTCTCCTTAGATAAAAAGATCATAGTAACATTTTCCATTCAGTTTTGTATTGCTAAAAGCTTATGTAGGAATAGAAAATCCTAATACCTTTCTTCAGTGAAAGTTTTAAGTTTTAAGTGTTTAAATAATAAGCAAAAGTTAGAATCCAGGTGTTTGATCATATTATAACAAACAGTTTTGAAGAACTGTATTCCTAGAGTTAGTACTTTACTGAGGTGTTCACATCCTTGGTGGCAAAGCTGGCAAGGGATAGTTGCCATGAGAAATATAAGTGATATAGATTCGATTTGGATTTCAGGACAGTGTCCATTACTGTACATGCCAAGAAGTGGGATGGCCCTGTACTTTGTTTTTGATGTTTTGGCTCAGGATAGGATAGCTTAAATGAACTGTTGGAGATCAGGAGATTTTTGACCTTTTAATAATATTTCAGCTATGAATTTGTTGAAGATAACTGCCTTTTTTTTTTTGCTTTTGGAAGAACTACTCTCTTCTGAGGGAAGTGGCATGCCCAAAGAGGAAAAGCTCCCTGAAGGTTCCAAGAACTCACCTCTAAATCCTGAAAATTCTTTGAATCTTGCCAGCGGAGATCATCCTATAAGCACTCAAAAAACCACAGTCTCCAGGAATTTTTCTCCAAGTGTGCCAGGTACCTCAAGTTCAGCACTAGTGGGGAGAAAATCATCTACCAAGAGCAGTCACCGTAAAGTTAAATTCCGAATACAGAGGAAAAGTGAAGGTAATTTAAAAACAGTGATTCTTAACAAATGTGTTTGTCTTTCCCTTTAAGGTTTTCATGCCCAACAACATGCCCTGAGAGTGTATAACTGGAGAAAGTGCCAAAATTGAGGAGGTCGAGTCGTCCCCTTTACTTTACTGTCAGGGCCAAACCACTACAGATGCTCCAATCCTCATGGCATCACAGAACTGTTTCTAGGGATCTGGGACTCTGACCATGTGTCCGATAGATCAGACTTCTCAGATGATTGGTTCTCATTGATGGTCCTGTTGAAATTTATCATTTCTTTGGGTACTGGACTCACAAACCTCCCATGACCCTGGGGCCTAGAAACACACAATGCCCTCTGCTTTCTGATGTGTTCTCTTCTTTGTCTCTTTTGAGACCTTTCCTGGCCCCAGCCTGTATGTAGCTTCCATATCTGGGCTCTGGCATCCTGTTGCTGCAGTCATTTCATCATTTTCCTCAGACTCACTGGGAGAACATGAGAAGTATAAACATTGCCATTTGGAAGAAGCTAGAACAGCTTTTTGCCAAGGTAGCTACCACGCCATACCCTTTTAAGGATTAAGGTGAGGCAGGGGTGAGAGTGGAAATAAGTGTTTTGTCCTTTTTCTCCACTTAGTCATCTAGGAAAGGTTTAGTAGTGAAGGCAGTGGGAACCAACTAATTCACTTGCCTTTCATCATGTATATTATCTTTGGAGAACTGCACTGCATACATGCTGTGACATATTTAATGTCTTCCTCCCCACCAGCTCCTTCCCTGTATAGATTGTATCTGCTTTTAGAGTGACATTGTTTGCAGAGAATCTGAAGATAGATGTTTATTCCATAAAGAGGTAGTGTACCCTGAGTCTTTAGGTATTTTCACTAAATAGAGCTTTTGATTACAGACCTTCTCAGTAAAAGGCTCTAAAAGGTTATCTCTGATGCTGAAGAGCTCACTTCCAAATGTATTCCTAACACTACCATGCCAGAGTAGCTTGCATTTGGGCTTGAGAAGGCTAGCTTCTGGCCTTCCTAGGAGTAGAAAGACTAATAGTAATAGCATTACTTACTGGTAATTTATGTAATAGTGATAGAAATCATCATCATCTTCATCACCAACTGTCGTTACATGACAGGCACATAACATTTTGCATAGACTTGTACATTACATCTTCATTAACAATTCCTTGCGATGTAGGTGCTGGTAAACATTTTTAGGTGAGAAATTTGAAAAGTCAGTTGGCTAAGGTCCCCCAGCTAGAAAGTGGCTGGGCTAGTTCTTGAACCTCCAGGCACTCTTACTCTAAGGTTGTACTCTTAACTGCTGTGCTGACTACATTTCCAGAGAATAGGTAAGCATTGCACTTGAAAACTGTTTAGCGGTATCATTACTATTATTTTATTTAAGGTACTGGAATTGTTACTTGAAGCTGAGTCCACCCCGATTGACAGTGATGTTCACACAACCCGCTCTGCCCGCCCTGTTATTTGAATGAAAAAAATTGTTCATTTTTATTACAGGAAAGATACCCAATAACATCGTTATAAAGAAAATCAAGTCACCTTCATTTTATTTATTTCAGAAATATTTTCTGATATCCTAGTATGTATATATAAGACAGACTGATTCAGGAGAAAACATGACTGGAATTTGATTATTTTTAAATTGTTTCATATTTGAATAACACTGATGTAATGTTTGCAATCTTCTCTGATTGTTTTAAAGGTATGGACCCAATTAAATTATTTTTCCACAGTGGATTAAAAATAGATGATCTTAACAGTTCTATGTTTAATATAAAGTTGCAGTTTTATACCACAAATCATATCTTTACATATATTTGATCTGTAGTAATCTGTAAAACTAGTTACATGTTACTGAAGACATAACTGTATTAGATTCTGATGGCAAAAACCAGAAATCTCACAAAAACATTAGTATAATTTAAAGATATGACCAGGTTTGCCAGCAATTTTTTAATGTTATATTGAATCTTTCTTGAGTACAAGAAGAGTTTCCTGTCTAAATTGTTAGAATGCTTTAGGCATGGCATGGTCTACACTATCATCATTTTTACTTGGGTTGAAACAGCAGCATTTCTTGATAGATAAGATCAACATTTTTATCTCTGACATGTAGAAGGGAGGATATATTTTACTAAATAGTTGTTTATTTCACATCAAAGTAGAGTTAGTGAAAAAGAAAACAAAATTCTGAGCTACATACAAAAACTTGACCATTGTGAGTTCTTTTATCTTCTATCTGAATACAAGATAAAACAATACATGTTTGGCTAATTTGCACACACGAAAGATCATATTTGTGTTGACAGCCCTTGGCTCGAGAAATAAATCTTCCTAGCAAACTGCAAAACTCTCTTTGGTTGTCACACCCTAACTGTAGAGGGTCGAGTGCTGCGGTGGAGTAAATGGATACCTGTTTAGACACAAAGCAGTTTCAGCACAACTCGAACGGCATGGTGAACACTTTGTGAGGTCTGAGCACTTCTCTTGTCTCCTGTCTCAGCCATTTCTGTATTAAACAAATTAACCCTCAACCAAGGTATCTATTACACTGTAATTCAACTTGAAAGAGGTAGTCAGTATAACATTAAAGTTACTTCTAAGCTAGCTTAGCAGAAAATAATCTTGTTTTCTTCAAAATTCAGATAAGCATTTAATCCTTGAGAGACAGGAATTTAAAGTGTAAAGTGAGGCAAAAAATATCCTTGTTGAATACCTGGGAGAGATCCAGTAAAAGAGCTAATTTGGTTCTCAAAAAATAGTGGGGTTTCTAAAATTCATTGATTGAAGTAAATAAATTTAAGCAGTTAAGAAACTAAACTTTTGGGAATTTTCATTGTATTTTGCTCGTAAAGAAAAACCTATGATCTTTGAAGCTGTGAGGCAGCTTCTGAAGCTGTTCTTGCTGTTTACAGAAGGTCAGAGGGGATGCTCTTGGGTAGCCGCCCTCAGGCTGTGCTCACCTAGGCTTCCACTGGATTTACACGGACTCCTGGTCCTGAAGGTTCGGGAAAGAGACCATTGCTCCCTACCTAACATCTCTTCTTTCAGGATAAAGATCAGGTCAGGTTTGATTTGTCTTCCTTTCTCCCCTTTGAAGCTACAGGTGCACCACCAGTTAGAGCTGGCTCGGATATGCTGCAGCGAAGCTTCTCTGATGACCCTGAATCTTGGTCCGTGGAAGAAGTGATTCTGTTCCTGAAACAAAAAGATCCTCAGATATCAGGCCTCCTCGCTGACAGCTTCAGGGAACATGTAATGTTGGAGAGACCAGTGCATCTTTTGATCTGGTTTTCCTGCCGTAATGTCTTTGAATGACCTGTGCGCAGGCCCTTCAGTTGGATACTCATTAGTGTATTTGGTGGGGGAGCCCTACCAACTGATTTTTCCATTTGTGAGAAACGTTGCTTTTCCCAGGGCTAGATCCTTAAAATGGTGGAGGCTGGATCTGTGCTTTAAGCGGGTGCCTGCCTGCATACCTAAAATCCTATAAGCCTTCAAGTTCTCCAGAGAAGGGGATTCGGCATAGCCGCTCTCGGGTGTCTTCTCCTTGTAACAGCAGCTACAAGGATCCTCCTTCCCACCTGCTCCCTGCTCGGCCCCAGGACCGTGCGTGGGAGGGGGTGACTGCAAGCTGTGACAGGGTGTCCTTGTTAATGATACCCGATGAGTCCAGCAACTATGTAAGTTAAGTACAGCTTTATTTTAAATAGGAACTCATGAATATCAAATAATATGCTTCCACAATGTAAGTTGGTTAATTAAGGAAATAAATTTTAGGAGGATTCCTTGTGTCTATTAAGTAATATGTTTTTAGTCATTTCTAACAAATTGATGGCAAAAATCTGATGTATGTTTTTCAGTAATGTAAGAAAATCAGTAATTACTTTCACCATCTTCAGCTGTCTGATTAGCTTTCAACATAGACAATACTGTATATATGTATAGCACATTTACAGTTTGCATTGATGCTGATGCATTCATATTTCCAGCCTAGCTAAGAACATTAATGACTGTCTGAAGTTCATTTTTTCAATTTATAGTTTTCCACTCTTTGTTCTAGTTGTATAGTATTTTATCTAACATGCAGTATTTAAAATTAGATAGCTTGATGCTTAAGCTACTGGGTTTAGGAAATTTAAAGTGAATTTAGAAATTACAAATGATGCTTCACTGTATCAGTTTTCAGGACATAAGTGTGTTTTCAGAGTATATTTTTCAGGAATGTACAGCTATTTTACATGTTCTTACATATAAATAACTTGACAATATCAAAGCATTATTAATTATCATTTCTTTCTCTCTGTAGGAAATTGATGGGCAGGCTCTGCTACTACTCAAAAGTGAGGTCATGATGAAGTATATGGGGCTGAAGCTTGGGCCAACATTAAAGATATGTTACTACATTGAGAAACTTAAAGAAGGAAAATAAAATTGAAAAAAAATGTATAATCTTAGATTGGACATAATTCTTAGTTGTCCTGATAACTTTAAGTATCTGTATTCTCTTAGTTTTTTCGTAAACAGTTCCTCTAAAAATATGCTACACCCAGCACTGCAGAACTACATCACAGTCCAGGCTGCTTTAGAAACCATTTAACATGTTAGTAATAGCATATCCAAATTGGCAGTTCTTTATGTCTTTTTATTATATTACAGTCTATTGTTTTTATTATACAGTTTTCAAGAGCACTTTGTGCTGGAAACAGAAACACCTTTGATTTTGGTTAATATTTATATGTAGGAAAAAAACATCTAAATCACAAAGGGGAGAGGATCAGGGACTGACAACTTCTCAAATGAAATTCAGGATAAGTTTTCTTTAGAAGAGAATTTAAAGACACAGCTGTATCATCTCTTTCTCAAATATTTTCTGTCTCTTACAGCAATGCTCTCTTCGTGTTTTACCAGTTTCCACAAAGGGAATAGGCATATGTTATTTTCCTTTTGTTATTATTTTTCTGTATGTTGTATTTGTTCATATTTAAAGAAAAACAAGCTTACTAATTTTCATAAAGTGTTCTTAGTTTTTGATGAACCTTGAACAGTTATAGGATAGAATGGTTGTTTTATGCAGGAGACATTATACTACAAGTATGGTTTTGAGTCTGACTAAATTTTTTTCAGTGAAATACCTGTATCTGAAAACTTTAGATTAGACATTTAACCAGACATTCAGTTGTGACTTCTCTATATGAAGAGACCTAAGCCCAAATTTTAAAAAGATAAATATTTTATTGTCCGTGTTTATTCCTCATACGGATGCTGTACTATAATTATATATTATTCTATACCTGCAGGTATACAAACAAGTAAATCTGTTCTTTTTGAGTTTAATATTTTACTTTGCACTGCTACAGAGATAATGATTATTTATAAAGGTAGATGTTTTTATTCTGTAAAAAACAGGTGCACCATTTGCTGTCATTAGTACATCTCAGCTTAGTCTTCAGGGGATAAGAAACAATCCATAGATTGGTTTCCATACAGGGAAGTTCTCTGTCCTATGCAATGTTTCTACTTAATATGCTTCACTCTGAGCCATTTGTTCTGATACATTTTGAAGATGTATTAATTCGAACATCACTTTAGGCTTTATTTTCAAAAAGAAACTTTAAAGTTTTAGAACTTTAAAGGGGAAATGGTGCTATATGTTTATTATTATTACTTTGTGTAACTATGGTGTAATGTTTATAAGCTATGAAAATCTGTGCTAAAAATATTAGCCATTTGTTGTAAATGCCAACAAAACATACACCAGGGGCAAGAATGTATATTTTCTTTTTCTAGAAAACCAAATATACTTTATACATGAATGCAATTATTTAAAGTGTTCTTGTGATGTTATTCTTTTTGTGTTAGAAGACAAAATTCTAATTTAAACTTGGTCTTTTTTCAAATTGTATGAGGATGCTGTGCCCAGTTGAACAATCCTCAGGTGTTTCTATGGATAATATATTTTAAAATTCTCAGATTTTTAAGTACAATAAAGTTGAATAAGCACAACAGTTAGTGTGAAAGCCTCAGATTTGATTTTACTTCCCTTCACCACAGCACATTAATGTACAGTTGAAAATGCAGCAGTCTAGTTAAAGTCTGGGGTTTTATGTCCAAGTACTTGAGTGTTAACGCTTGCTGTCATTCTGTGGGTGAACAGATTCCTAGGAGCAAAGGACAGGTCCCTTGTAGGGGCCTTAATCAGGATGCCAGGGGAGCAGGGGGAAGTGAAACAGTACACTCTGTGCACGGTTTTGTGGCTTGCGACGTTACTGGGAACAGGAACGTGATGAGCTAGAAAGTGCCGGTGTCCACATAGCTCATCCCACCTGACTTCGTACATCTCACTGGCAATTCTGGCCGCTCTGTGCCCTGGGGGCCAGAAGCCATGCTGCCTCTCTGCCACAGCCTCCCCGCCTGGCTGGTGGACGAGCCTCACAGGCTCGGGATTGTGGCCGAATCTCCTTCAGTAGCTGACCCCTCAGCCACTCTGCCCCGGGAGCTGCGGCTCCAGGCCTCTGAGCCCAGATGCGCTTCCTGCTCTGGCTCCCGAGCAGCGTGTCCTGCAGCTCCTTACAGCCGAAGGGCGTGAGCTGAGGCACTCGGATGACGCTCAAGTGGCTGGAGCGGGGCTTACAGTTAGTGTCGCTTTGGTGTGTGAGACACACGGGGCACTCAGAAGCACTGGTTTCTCACTGTCTGGTGTGTATGTTTTCAGCACAGAGAATATCCCGCCGTGCTAGCCTCCCGTGGCCGTCCAGGCTCTAGAAACGATCTTCCCTCTGCTTTCGCCTTGCAGTCCATCCACCCTTCGCCCGGCTGTAGGCAGCCGAATTCGGCAAGGTGGGTGCGAAAGCTCGCGTCACGGCAAGCACGTGCTTCCCTTGGGATGTCTTCTGCTCCGTGTTCAGGGAAGGATTTCCCAGACCCTGAAACCTGGGCCCCTCTGTAAGTGTGGAAACGCTGTGCCCTTCCGGACTCTTCTGGAGAATTAAGCCTTCAACACCCTGACTAGGAGCAATGTAATGGGGAGGGAAAGCGCGGCTTTGTCAAGCTGCCCGAGGGATCGGAGGCACGGCTGGCTGAATAAATGGACGGCCCCAGGCTGTTTTGGGAGAATGTCGCCTCAGATCTGTCTTGGGACAGAGCACGCAGGGACCCTGAAGGTTGCATTTACGGTCCTGCCACATCCCCTTCTGCCTGCCCCACAGAGCAGCCTGTTCGCTTCAGCTGCACATCAGCCGTGTTGGTACCAGGAATCTGCCCAGCTGCGGGGAGAATTCAGTGTCGCGATGGTGGGACCCACCCTGCGTGGAGTACAGAACCCTGCCCCTCAGCCTGAGGCCTGTGCCGATGTCCTGGACCCTTAGAAGCCCAGCACCCAGGCATCGCTGGCCTGTGGCAGGGGCATCTCTGGGGCCCAGGCCTGCTCCCAGGTTTAACAGCTCCCGTGGCTGTTCAGGTGCAGCCAGGGTCAAGACCAGGTGTCTAGCAGAGTGACCTGTGCCACTGGTACATTGGGTGGGTCCCTTGTCTGCCCCCCTCCCTCGAGGGCAATGGCTGGAGTCTGGGCCCCAGGATCCCAGCCGCCCCATCCTCACTCCCCCAGCTCTCTCCGGGGCCACGCTTTCTGCCCTTCCCTCTGTTGCATTCCAAGATGTGACCACCCCTTCCCTGCTCTTTTTCTCGTCCCCACAAACGTTGGGGTCGTCACTTCAGCTCTGTAAAGTCTGCACGTGTGGTATCCCCCAGCTTGGGTTTGGCCTGTAAGGGAGGCTAGAGAGGCCTGGGCTTGCCAGCCTGTGTTCGGGGCCTTTGCTGGAAGTTTTCTGTTACTAAAGGGTGAGGAGGTGTCTTTCTGAGAACTTGGGCCCTTGAGGACTTTAAGTCCAACCCTTCCCACAGACCTCGTACGATGCTCACAGACTAGCTTCCTCCAGAGACCAAGGCCACCAGGCAGGTGGCTGTGTGGGGACCGCTCTGTGCGGGAATGCCCGGTGGTGGTCACGCCGAGCTGTCAGCAGAGGTCGGTGCGCCCAGCACAGGTGTTTTATTACCTCCTGCTGTCTTACCTTCTCCCGTACCTGGTTATATTTCATTCCGTCCTGGATATTCTGTTTAAATACTGTTTGAACAAATAACTTGATGTAATTTTCATAGGAAAGGATGTTTTGCTTATGGCACCCACCTGGGAGTGCTAAATCCCCAGTTGATGATGAGACTGAGGTACAGTCCACGTGGCTCACTGTGATTATGGATCACCTTGATGCCACAGGGAGGCCTCTCTGAGGTCCCTGTCCAACGGATGGGGTAGTTTACTCCCTCTGTCCTTGGTCGGTGCCACACTTTGACTTTGGTTTCTCAGTCCCAGCACGTCACCACACGTGCAGCCTGGCCTCTCTCAGCCTGTTCTGGGGGCCTTCTATTTTATCATCCTTAATTCTTCGACCCTTGTGATGGAAGTGCCTTTCATATAACTAGGGGGTGGTGCTGCTCTCCAGGACCCTAGGAAAAGGGTGTATTAACAAGAACTCCTAATCTCAGGCAAACTGATTTGAGTGCTAAAAGTGAAAGTAACCCGGAGGAATCGCAGAGGAGATACTCATTCTTACCAGGGGGCTTTAGGAAAGCGTCGTGGTGTAGGTATTATTGGAACAGATGTTACATCGCAGAGGCTTTGAAGGATGGGAAAAATTTCCAGAGGCAATTGAGCAGAAGGTAGAGTAACGTAGGGGACGTGAGCGTGGGCTATGGGGGGCTGATGGTGCGCTCAAATCATGACTCTGCCGACATTCTTGTGGCTTTGAGCAAGTTAATGAGACCCTCAGCTTCAGTTTTCTCATTTTGAAAATGGGACAATAATACCTCTTAAAACGTTGACGGCCACATAGGTTCCGATATGTTAAGTGGCTGTCTTGTAGTGAGAACTCGGTAAATCGTAGCTATTATGAAGCAGGTGGGTGTTTGGGGGAAAAAAAGTGAGCAGAGAGGAGTCGGCAGAAGGGCCGCGGGGTAAGGACTTAGTCAGCCTTATTGGCGCACATTTTAAAAGTTGGATTATTCTCAGATTTGTTTCCAAAGCTGGCACTGGACGTGAATGCAAAACCCAGAAAACGATTAAGTCTCAACTCAAATCTCTTACATTCTACACTTTGCTGTGCTGCGTTATGCGTGGAGAGCATTTTGTGAAGGGAGGAACTACACCGGTGGTAACCCTTTCACTTTTTTCTTTTTAACTACGATTCAAACTACGTACATACAGATAGAAAATGAACGGAAGGGAGGCAAGGTTGGCGTCGGCCCTGCGCTGCCCCTCCAATCGCATGCGCATACTGGTCGACACTGCGCAGCCGCAGAAACATTTTAAGTGGTTACGTTTGCGCGGCTTCCATCTGGCGCCTCGGTGTCCTGCAGTCCTTTCGAGTGCGCAGTCGCAGTGCAGACGCCGAGCCGACGGCGATCCTGAGGCGCTCGGAGTCGACGGTGATCCTGAGGCGCTCAGAGTCGACGGCGGTCCTGAGGCGCTCAGAGCCGGGCTCTCGGACTCACAATGTTTGAGGAGCAGGGTAAGGACCCCTTCCCGATGCTGCTGCACTGGTTTCTGCCCCTTTCCTCACATAGCCCGAGGAAAGCTCTGACGGGGTTCGCACCAAGCCTTCTGACTGGGATTGTCTGGTTACTGGCCAGGGTGCTTCCAGAAGCGACGTCTGCACGGTGTGGAAGTGCAGTATTGTGGGCAGATTCTGGCCCAGGGTTTGGGGTGACCCACGGCTGGAGGTGTCTATGGGGTTCATGAAGTCTCAGGAAACTGAGGTGGCCCCCAGGTTCATAGTGTCCCAGGGTTTTGAGGTGGTGCCGGGGCTCAACGTGCTCGTGAGGGCTGGAGGCCGCCCCGCGACTAAGGGTGTCCCCGGGGGCTCGTGGCATTTACGGTCGCCTGAGGTGGACCCAGGCTCATGGCTTTTCCAGGGCTCCTGGTGTTCCCGGGTGCCTGAGGCTCTCACGGCGATCCCGGGTGCCTGAGGAGGACACGAGCTCATGGCGGGCCTGGGGCTCATGACGTCCCAGGGCGCTCGAAGAGGTCCCGGGGCTCGTGGCATGCCCGCGCACTTGAGGCGTTCCTGGGGCTTGTGGCGCTCCCGTTTGTTCACGGTCGTCCCGGGCTCCTCAGGTGGACCCGGGGGCTCAAGATGGTTCCGGGGTTTGTGGCGTTTGTGGGACTTCAGGATGGTCCCTGTGCGTGGCGTGCCCACGGCTCGTGACATTCCCAGAGCTTGTGGGTCTCCTGGGGGCGTGGGGTAATCCTGGCGCTGGGGGTTACTTGGGGGCTCACGGCGGCCCAGAGGTTCATGACAGTGCAGAGTCTGAAGGTGCCTCTGGGCTCGTGGAACTAGTGCGTGGAATACGGCTGTGTTTCTGGCACAAGAGCCATTTTTTCCCAGGCCTTCTAGCGCCCGTCAACGGTGCCGTACATTCACCGTGATCCGCTGCCCTTGCCCTGCAGGGGGCGGTGTGCCGAGCTGTGGTTCCAGAAGCAGCGGAACTCTATCCTTGAGTTTTTTTTTCGAGGCCTGGTGTGCACGCGCCGGCAGCGGCTGCTGAGCAAAGCCGTCCGGGCAGTAAAGCAGTGTGGCCTAGGGCTGGCGTTCTCCTGGCAGGGGAGGATTTGGTCTGCTAGGAGGGCGAGTCTGCACTTTGCAGCCTCAAATTTTAGCAGTGTTGTGGCACGGCGGGCTACGGTGGTTGCCACTCTTCCTGGGATGCCCGTGCCAGTGCACTTTTGGATTTGGCCACTTGCTAAGTACCTGGTGTTGACCTTCTGAGACATTTGTCCGTAATTCTTTATCCTTTCAATTTACCTGTTGGAGGAAGTAGGGGTCTTTTACTAGGCTCTCCCCTATACCAAGTCCCCCCCACAAACTCCATTACAGTCACTGTCC